AGAATACAGAAACTTCAAACTTATTTAAAAAAAACTAATAATTTCTACCTTGTCATCGCTAGTTAGATTTGCTGATTTTCTTTTTGTTTTTGACTCCATAATAAAAATTTAACTTTCGCTATTACAATCATCTTCACTGAAACTTGATTTACACATTCACATTTAACTAGAAATTTTAATAAAAGAAAATTGAACCTCCCTATAAAACTTTGAGGTATGGTATGTAATCAATTGCACGTCAGTGCATTAGTGAATGAAATCAAAGTCTTGTGTGCATTGTAAATGAGTTCGAAAAACTAAAACTTCAAAAAAATTTATCTTCATACTTTATTTAAAACAAAATAGATTTAAACAAATTCTTAAAAAAGTTTATTTTAAATTTTTATCATTATTAACCTCTTTTAGTTTTCTTATTTTTCTTTTTCTTTTTACTATTTTTAAATTAATATTATTAATATAATTATTTGGTGTCACTCTTTTGAACCGATTTTTGCATGAATGACTTCTCGCCAATCAATCAATTATTTATAGTTATTCTTAATATTGATATTTTAATTTCATTATTTATAATATTATAGATATTCTTATTATTATTGTTATAATATGTGCTTCAACTTGATTTAACATTGATCCACTCTACTAAATCAGTTACAGATTGGCTACAGAAAAAACTGGCAGATACTGGTTATAGTATATACTGGCCACAAACACACTCCAATTTTAGTTGGCCCATTCGGAAATTTAGGGGTCCTTTTGCAAATTCAAAAAAGATTTTTTTTTTCTAGTAATAGTTAGTGTTAAAATTTTAACGACTTTTGGTGACTTTTAATATTTGGGGCTCCAAAGTTCTTATATGATATTCATAGCACATGTTTGGCCAGACTGTTGTTAACGTTTACTAACGAGAAACTATGTTCAAATTGTAATTAATACTTTCATAGAAAGGTCATTTGAGAAATTGTTTTAATGTTGCATGTTCTGAGAACAAAACCAAATCTTAAACTGTTCAAGTGTTTGCAGAAGAATATTTTAGAAACGTTCTTTAAAAATGTTTCTATGTTGACTTGATGGAAAGAGTCTAACTAATTATTCTAATTATTCTGTTTTTCTCTGCAAAAGTTATAAACTATAACAATTAAATGAGCACAGTTTCATTCCAACAATTATTAAGCCAACCAGAATAACTAAAAATCCTTCTACCTTAGTCGATAATATAATAACCAACAATTCCCATGTTTTCACAGGTATAATTAAGACAGGCCTTTCAGATCACTTTTCTACCTTCTGAACTACTAAAAACATAGCACCAAACAATACCTCTCCCGAACCTCCTATATACAAACGAGAGATCAATGAAAACTCCTTACAAAAATTCAAAAGTTTACTAAAAAATAATGTTGATTGGGATCTTATATTGCAATCAAGCGATGCGAATAATGCCTACGAACTTTTTCTAGGTCAATTTTGTAAATATTATAAAAAAGCGTTTCCAGTTAAAACTGTTGTTATAAACAAAAGATCACTTTCAACTTCTTGGATGTCTATAGGTTTAATTAAATCCTCAAGAAAAAAACAAAAACTCTACGACAAATTCCTAAAAAAGAAAACTTATAAAAATAAAATAACTTACAAAAATTATAAAAACTTGTTTGAAAAAACAAAACAATACTCAAAAAAGCTTTATTATTCAAATTTGTTTAAAAAAACCCATGGAAATGCTAAGAAAACATGGAATACGATTAAAGAAATAATCAGTAATAATAACTGTACAAAAAGCAATCTGCCGAAAAAAGTTTGACTGATGGTAAGTTAGTCAGAGATAAGACAAAAATAGCTGAATATCTAAATAGCTTTTTTCTTATTGTAGGTCACAAATTAGCAGCAGAAATTCCGTCGAGTTCTGAAACATTTCATTCTTACTTGATTAGGCACCTTACTTCAAAAAAGATTATAAAAGAAACACATCTAGATTCTAATAAATTGCGATCCGCTTTAAACACTTTAAAAAATAACAAATGTGCGGGCTTTGATAATATCAGTAGCTTTGTCGTAAAATCAGTATTTGATATCATTGAATCATCATTACATCACATCTTTGATCTTTCACTGAAATCAGGCATTGTCCTAAAAATTGCCCTAGTCACCCCTATTTTTGAATCTGGAGATGATTTTGATACTAACAATTATAGATCTATATCAGTTTTACCATGTTTTTTCAAATTTCTAGAACGCGTCATGTATAATAGACTTTACAATTGTTTGACGGAAAACAATTTTTTATACGGTAAACAATTTAGATTTGAAAAAAACCACTCAACTGACCATGCTATAATTGAGCTAGTTAATCGAATATCTAATGCTTTTGGTAATGATTACTTTACGTTAGAAGTTTTTATTGATCTTTCTAAAGCTTTTGACACTGTAAATCACGACATTCTTCTAAAAAAACTCAAATGGCATGGAGTAAAAAAAAATAACTTACTTTGGTTTAAAGATTATTTATCAAATAGAAAGTAATATATTCAATATGAAACAACAAAAACAACAAATAGCGCCATAACTTGCAGGTTTCCCCAAGGCTCGATCTTGGGACCATTATTGATTTTACTCCAGATAAATGATTTATATTTAACATCAAACTTATTAAATTTAATCTTGTTTGCGGATAACTCCGATTTTTTTTATTCAAATAGAGACATTAAAACACTTTTTTTTTTTTTTTTTTTTTTTAAGTTGATTAAGGTGCCCCAAGAAGTCCTTACGGTCTTATCACAGAGCACCGCGGAAGAGCATTTAATGAGAAGTTCACGCCTCCTTCCCTTTTAATATAGTTAACAAAGAATTACATAAAATAAACGAGTGGTTCAGATGTAACAAACTCTCTTTGAATGTCAAAAAAACCAAGTTCATCCTATTTCATAAACCAAATAAAAATGAAAATATTCCTCTTAAACTACCTGATCTAAAAATAAATAATACTAATATAAAAAAAGAAACTTTCATAAACTTTCTAGGTGTGGTCTTGGATGAAAATTTGTCGTGGAAGCTTCATATAAACACTTTAGAGAGAAAGCTCTGAAGAAATATTTCATTAATATATAAAGCAAAACTTTTCCTAAATATTATTTCCTTAAAAAGTTTATACTTTTCATTAATACATAGTCATCTAAGCTATGGTAACATGGCCTGGGCAAGCACAAATTATACTAAGCCTAAAAAACTCTACAGTAAACAAAAACGTGCCTGTAGAATTGCCTTTGGAGTAAGTAAAAAAGTGTCATGTGAACCTCTCTTATGCAAACTTGGAGCATTGAATACATTTCAATTCAATGTTCAATTCAATGTTCAAATACAAAATTAGCATACATCTTGTTTTACAGTTTATGTACAAAATAAAATATGGACTCCACCGATATTTCAACCCTATTTTAGAGAAATAAGTCATAAATACCCTACTAGATTCTCAAATAACAACTTTATCATCCCAATATTTACATTAAAGTTAAATTTATATTATTGTGGAAATTTTTTCCGGAGATTGTTACTATCAAAAAAATATACTTAAACAATTAAAATCTGAATCAAAGCATTTTTTATTATCTACGGACTTAAATTTTCTTTTTCATTTTTAGTAAAATAATATAAACTAGCACACTTTATTTCTTTTATTTGCTTTAACTTTTACTTCTTCTAAATTTATTTTGCAATACGAATTTATATATAAACAGTTATATCAATTGTGAAACGTAGTTTTACACATTTTTATATATTTTATCACAAGCATTTATCATGATTTTATATATTCTATTGTAAAAAACGATCTGTAATGAAGTCACAATGGGGCTTGGTGATAAGACAAACTGATGTCTTCTTTTTGCTTCAGCCATTTGTTTTATTATTTATGTTATTTTATAAATTGTAACTTTCTACGGCAAAAGTTATAACAAAATAAAAAAATAATATAATTAAAATTTAAACATTTTAATGAAAAGGTTTAAGTCATTTAAAAAGTCATATTAATAACTTTTTTTTATAAGTTTATAAATAAAATGGTATTCCGTAGTAAAAATAAGTCAAAAATATTGGTAAAATTTTTAATTTCAGAAAAAAAAAATTTATAACAGGATGTTTTCTTAGCTTTACATTTCTAAACCGGCAAATAGTCGTATTATCAAGTGATTTTTGTAAGCGTCCAACTATTGAAAACAAGTTATTCACTAGCTCTCAAGTTACGAAAAAACATAGATTATTAGTTTAGTATTGAAGAAAGAGCCCTTGCAAGACTGATGTCGAACTTAACATAATTTTGCGTTACTTTTATGATATTTTCAATGGTAGCGTCAAAGCATTATTCGACTCGCAAAGAAATCGTAAATGAATCCTACAACAAACTTATAATGTAAAGCATTATGTTGGATTTGTTTTCGGATTATTTTAAATCACAAAAAATCTAAGTTTTTGATCGGCCACAAAGTAACCAGCATTTGTTTGTATTGATTATAGAACGTTGATAACATTTCTGATAAGGATGACAAAATTATATTCATTTTTAAATAGCATTACAACAGTTAGCCTTATGATGCATTAGTGTTATGATGTATAAAAATGTAAGAATGGTTTTGTTATTTGTCATACTGACTTAATAAAACTATTTTATTGAAAAGTTCGGACATTTTTATGTTTTTCAGTTGTTTACAAACTTTTTCACGAAGGCTTAAAAAATAAAATTATAAAAACAATTTAGAAATTTTATGGTTTGTGTAATGAATTGAACTAGTTTAGAATACATTTAGTAAGCTTTCTTTGTTTTTCAAACTTTTATATAAGATTGCAAGAATTTTTTGTAAGATTGAAAATGCTTGCAAGGTCAGTATAATGTCTCAATTATTTAAATCGAATTGTGTATTGTGAAAAATATTGTTTAAGATAGTAATACAGAAATTTAAAGACATTTTATTTAAAGTAAGGATCCTTTCAATTCTATTAAAACTATTAAGTAATATTTCAATTCGTGTTTTATACTAAAATACAACCAATATGTAAATTTATAAATGGACTAATATCCAATAAGAAACAAAAAAAGATAAAAATTAAATAAATAAAATAAGTTATTTAAAATGCATTGAGTAACCTCGCTTTCTCTATATTTTGATTAATCGACAAACAAAACAAAAAAACTTGTGCTATTAAAATTAAAGGTTAAGAAAAAATTCGATTTGTTTATAACTTTTTTTAACTCTTTAAATTTTGAATTATAATAATTTTTATTTATATTTCTATTTATAATATTTTTTTTATTTACATTTTTAAAGTTTTAAAGTTACAAAAACTTAAAGCTCAAAAGTTGACAACGAATCACTTAAAAACATTTAAATTATAGTTATATAAATAAATATATACTATGACTTTAGAAAATAATAGGCAACAGCGTTCTAAACCATTAAAGAATCTTCTCGAGATGAATAGCTAACCGATTCAGACAGCATTATTTTGCTAGGTCTACGTTTTCCAATCTTTTCTTTGTGTCTACGTTCTTGTTTCTCTGCCAAATACTTTTCACGTTTGATTTTTAATTCCAAAGCTAAATAAATGTTTAGTGTTGATAACAAAAGCTAAATAAATGTTTAGTGTTGATAACAAAAGCTAAATAAATGTTTAGTGTTGATAACAAAAGCTTAATAAATGTTTAGTGTTGATAACTAAAGATTATTCTATTTTAAAAATGTTTAATATAATAAATGTGGTAGAGATGAAACGCCCGTAGCCCATCCACAATAACCACAAAATGTTTAGTCAAAAAATATCTTAAAAATGTTTACAATTATAAAATTGATAACTAAACTTTTTATAATACGCTTGTTTTAATTTAATGAGTTCCATAGCAATTTTTTTTAATCCTATAGGACTTTTGACTAGGACCACTTGCAAAAAACGTTTTTCAAATCTAAAATAAGTCTGGATCACAAAGACATTCACAGGTATTGCTTCTAGTTTAAGTATGCTTTGCCAAATTAAATACACATTAATATTTAAATTAAAATAATTATAAAAACTTGAATAAAAACATTAGCTTACATTTTGGAATATCAGGAATTATATATGCAATTGTTTCTTTAACAGAAATCACAAATGCTTGAAAAGCAATAATAAAAGCTAAGCGAGCTGTAAGAACAATCCAATAGTCTTCAGAATATCCATATGGGCGAGTTTCATTGTGAAAACCTGGGTATCTATAAATACACATATTTATAAATTATCTTATACATTAATGCATAAAATAAATTAAATATATAAATCCCAAAATGCAGGGCATTATGTCTAACTGTTTCTTCCTAAAAAATAGGAAGAGAAAAAATAGGAAGGATAAAATTAAAACTGCTTTTAAAATTACAAATAGCTATTACATGCACAGTTTAAAAAACTAATGCAAAAGAAAGTGTAACATATAACTACTTTAACTCATACAATTACAAAATAATAGTCTGTTGACCTGCAAAACTCCTGCGGTTTTAAGCCATTCATCATTGGATCATCAGGTCTTGAATTATTTTTAAAGTCTGACACTCTAAATTTTGACATAGACCAGTTTACATAACCATCCAACTTACCGTCAGGAGATTTATAATAAATCCAAACCAAATGTGGTATAAGCTCTGAAGTGAATGCGAGTACAAATCCATTGACAATTGTAGAAAGCTAAAAAAATAAACGTTTAATAAACTACTCAATAATTAGAGTAGAGTGGATAGCACAATACTGGTATTTCAAAGGTAGAATGGATAATTTCGTACAAAACTCCTTTTTGTCAGTTAACTTTTTAAATATTAGATGACATTTACAAGGAAGCAACATACAAAACTTACTATTCCATAATACTTACTTTAATTTTATAAGTATTATGGAAATATAAATATAACTTTAAATATAACTTTAATCCAAAATAATCTTAAAGTTCATGCCAAAGCCAATCCGCTAATGCTTTTGTAATATAAAAGTAAAAGACAATATCAAAATAAATCAAAAATATGCACCATTAAATTTTTTTTTTTTGCTGTCAAACTATTTTCTGACAGATCAATCATAGTTTTCAGACCCTGCAATATTAAATCAAAGCTCATAACATAAACCTCAGGGTTCATAAATTAAATGTAATGATATTGAATATGTCAGAGATAAAAGGAAATGTATAAAATTTCCTTTGCTTAAAAAAATGCCTTTAGTTTAATTTTTAAAAAATTTTCCATAATTGATTGCTAAGTAACAACACATTATTATTTTACAAATTTTTAAATTCAAAGCATTTCACTCCAGGAAAAAATGTTCTATAAAACTTTTGTAAACTTTTGAAACATAGCCTATAGAAATTCTATAGAAATTCTATAGAATTTCTTTTAATCCCTATAGAAATTGCTATAAAACTTTTTTTTCAATAGAAAAGCAAGTAGAAAAAAAAAATTTATAGAAATTTTTATAAAAATTAACAGAGATTCTATAGAAATTCTATAAAATTCTATAGAATTTCTATAGGCCATATGTTTCAAAAGATTATAGAAATTCTATAGTCTTTTTTTTCTGGGAATATATTAAACTAATGATATACTTTTAGCATTATATTTTTTAACTTATTTGAATTATTTGTGAAGTACCTGTAGAGAGAGCATTATGCACTACATAAACAGCACACCCTGTCAAAATTTTTCTCTGTAAATTCTTTTTATAGCTTTGCATAAAAATTTCCTGCAGTTTTTTTTTATGATAAAGCGCCAAATTTCACATGCTACATTACTTGTTGAAAATCTAATTCATCTTTATTCTGTATAATTTACAAAATGTATATCTTTTAAAACAATATTTATTGTTCTTTATATATATGTAAGTATAAATAAATGTTTAGATAACATATCTGATGTCATCAAGGTATTAGCCAGGAATATATATATTTTACCTCATTTTTGCGATATTATGAATATTTATTGCTATTGTTTCAGAAAATAACAGAAATTTTTATTGATATTGTCTTATTAATTAAGTCTAAGAAATCTTTTTAGTAATTTTTTTTTTTCCTTCTTTTTCTAAAAAAGCCATATTTGATAAAGATTTTGCAATTACTGATATATTATATGTTTGTATATTTTATATACTTTGTGTGCTTTAAATTTTCATAAAAAGAAGAATTTCATAAAATGTGCGCTTTAAATTTTTAATAAAATAAGAAGAAACAATATTAATGGAAAAAAATGATTACAGCCCTAACCCACCCCATAATTGTTGGAGTGGCAGTTAAGGTATGTACTAAAGTCCGCAACTACCTATTTTGGTATGACATCATCAGTATGCATTTAATGCTCCATTCATATTTTTAAAACATGATAATTAAAAATGTAACACATAATAGTTACATTCAAAATTTTATATTCTAAATTAACTTTTAGCATGAAATTATTTTTTTTCTTATTTAAACTTAAATAAAATTGTATTTAAAAGCATTTTATACATTCCAAATACATTTGCTTTATAGTTAAAATTGATGACATTAATTTTGTTTCATAGATTAAAATTTGTAACAATGTTTAGTTTAGAATGTAGAATAAGGATGTTGAATATATTTTTAATATTTATTATTAGCTTATTTTAATAAGTTATTAGCAAGTAATTTTAATATTAATTAGTAATTTTAATAGTGTAAATATGTCATGAGATAAGTTAGTACATAATTATGTCCTAGGGAGTTTTGCTGATTACAAAAAATATATTTGCACAAATATATTATGCCCTAGGGAGTTTTGATGATTACAACTAACGATTATCAATTGTAAAATAACACGTATTGAAAGAGTTCAACAAGTAAATATAGTTGTCGTTTTTATTTTCAATAGAAATTATTCACAATTAGTTATAATTAATTATTCTAGTGAATATACACAGAATTCATTTATTAATTAAAAAAAGTATTACCATTGTTAAGGTGGCTAAAATTCCATACCATGCACCAATATCCTGTGCAGGATTAGCATGTGTACAACGGAAATTATGTATAAAATTAACAGCATCCAATCTTATTTCAACAATATTGTTTAAAAGTGCTACTAAGGGAGCTAATGGAAATGCAGCCACAAACATTGTAACAAATCCATATTGAAGAACTATATGAAATAAAAATGTATGCAAATAATATACTAAAAAGGATTAATTTAATATAATGATATGATATACAATTTTAAGTTATTGTGACCAAACAAAGCAGTAATTTGATCAGTATATACAGATACAAAACAGAAAAAAAAACAAATTTATACAATACAGCAAAATAAAATCAAGCAAAGATATTGAGTTCATGGGTGTATGCAGCATAGGTCAGGGATGGTCTCTTATGTCACCCTGGATTTTCTAAACTAAAAAAATAAATTCCATTTCTTTGCTATTTGGCTACATGTATTAACTGTCTACAAACCTGAATTACTAAAAATCTATAAGCCCCTGGTGACAAAAATTTGGGACAATCTTTGAGAAGCTAAAACTTAATGGTTTTTTAGTTATCCATTCTTACTTTATTTGTTTTGTTTATAAAGTGTTAGTTATCTTTTACTAAATGTTTTGTTTACTTAGATTAATTAATAAAAAAATTATCCAAAAATGAAGCCGACTACATTAATTGAACAAGTGTACAACGATTGTAATTTGGATCCTTACATTAAAACAAAGAGCATTGTAGAGTATTTTGTTGCCTCTAATTACCCTGGTAGAACCATCAAATTGTATATGGCAAAGTGGAAGAACAATGAGCCAAAGCTGGCAAGCCTGGTTCAGGCAGAAAACCAAAAATTATAACTGCCAGGAACATCAATTGTAGGTCTTTTCACATCAATTGAAAGGTCTTTTGAACATCAATTAAAAGGCCTTTTGAACAACCATTCTTGAACTTTAACAAAAAAAAAATGCAAATAAATTCAATTGTGATCATTCCTACATTATAAAAACAATAAAAAACAAAACAAACATTTGTTATTTTATGAAAAAACAAATCCTTGATTGCACTGATAAATAGTTAAAGCAGTTGCAACTGAAGTGTGGAAGAATTTGTTGCAAATTCAGAAGCCGTGACTTTATCATTGATGATCTTATTTTACATTTAAACATACAAATAAAAATTCTAATGCTGGATTTTACTCAGATGAAGCAAAAAATGTAAAATAAAAAAAGCGCAAAAGCAAATTTGAAAAAAAAAACCTGTGTGGTTGCCATATCCCCTTGTGGAATCTCAAAACCATTTATTGTTCCTGCAAGACTGGCAATTAACCAAACATTATACAAAAATTATTGCATTATCAAATGACTAATTCCTTTTATCACCAAACATCAGAATGATGTTAATTATGAATTTTGGCCTGACTTAGCCTCTTCCCATTATGCTAGAAGTGTAACCAATTGCCTCGATTAGAAAAATATCTGTTATGTAACAAAAGTTGATAATGCCGCATTACACAATTCAATTGTCACATAATTTTTTTTTTAAACATCTTTGCTTCCAACAAGGCTGCAAGCAACCACTAATTAGTGTTGGAAGTTACTGAAAGAGAAAAGATAAAGATTGCAGAGCAAGATAACGATTGACAGATGACTTAAAAAATTGCAAATTATATGATTCAGGAAAACAAGAAGAAGGAAGTGAATTCCAACAATTCAGCTTTGTCTTTAGGTGAGGTGACAAAGTCTGAACCATACAAAAGAGGTGGAATTACAGACTTGCTCTTACTATTGATACTATTAAAGATTCTCCAGAAATCACGAGAGCCTAATTTTTGTGATGAAATACAAGATTTCATGACCTGAGAATAGCGGGCTTTAGCATTAGTCAAAACCTTTTTACAATGGTTACTAGCAGTAATAAATAAACGTCTGTTTTCTGGAGAATTTTTTTGCTGATAGATATGGAAGTAATGGTTTCGATTGGCAATTACAGCAGCACTATGTGAGGGTAACCATGGGGAAGAGTAAGGCTGATCTGGAATCTTCGAGAAGGATTCTCGAAATAAAGGATTCCATGACAACCTGAATCCATGAAGTTGTGCAAGAAGCACATTTGTCAACAGGAAGATGAAAGATTTCTACCCAAGGGTCATCACAAAAAAAATCACGGAAAGAGTCCCAGTCAGCTTTAAGGTAGATATAAGATGTACGATGATAGGGGGATTCTGATAGTAAAGAAAAATAAGATAATAGTTTTAGAGAGATCAAACTGTGATCGGAGGCACCTAAGGGTGAATGTGGAAAAACTGAGCACTGACTAGGATCAGAAACAAGACATAAGTTGAGTAGTGAAGGTAAATGATTCAGGTTGTCTGGAAAGCGAGTTAGAAAGTTGACTATTTCAGTTAGGGATTGAGAAAGGTAAAAGTTGTGGGCTTTAATGCCTGCAGAGTCACTGACCAAAAGTGAAAACAGGGACACCATCCATGTGCAACATGGCACTGTTAATACTTTGATATTTTTCAGCTTTTGATGGAATCAGCCTCTCTGAGAGCTACCACAGAGTTTGGGAAACCTGACTTCCAGCTGGCCTCAGAACCATAAAACTGAGTTTTAGAGCTGTGCCCTCGTTAGGAGATAATAGAATGAGTTGCCTAGTCATAAAAACAGAGATAGAAGCAAAACCCATGCATCGAGTCAAGAAGATCCAGTATTCAACATCCTAAACTGGAAACAATGTATTAAGAATACATCTGCGCCAGCCTAATAGATGAAGATGAGGTGCGAGGCTGGTCAACAGATAGAATCTGTTAACCCCTTAACGGCTAAATTGAACCACCAAACTATTAACCAATATGTTTTGTATTGTTTTCATGCAATGAACTGGCTGCGATTACATCATTATTTACCAAATACAATAATTTTCGCTAAACTTATCATTCAATAACATTCATGGTCTTCGAAGGAGCCTTTTTCCTGTTGAGTTTTATCTCTTGCAAAGTTCACCAGACCTAGTTGCTCTTTGTGAGACTAATTTGAGTTCAGCTGTCTCATCTTGTGACCTTAAATTTTATGGTTATCTTCCTTTAATTCATAAAGACTCCAATAGTCACATGTTTGGCCTGGGCATTTACATTTGTAAGAATTCACCCATTTGTCGGGAAACTAGGTTTGAATCCACAAACTACTCTTTTATGTGCTTTCGTTTAGCACCACTTTTCTCAATTATCTTTCTCTTTGTTTTATATCGCTCTCCTTCATCTCAAAACTGCACTCTTCATGATGTTATTTTTGATCATATTGACCAAGCCCTCTCTCTCTCTTTATCCATCAGCAAAAATTGTTGTCGGTGATTTTAATGTTCACCATACTGAATGGCTTGGCTCTAGTGTTAGTGACTCTGCAGGCATTAAAGCCCACAACTTTTGCCTTTATCAATCCCTAACTGAAATAGTCAACTTTCCAACTCGCTTTCTAGACAACTTGAATAATTTACCTTCTCTACTCGCCAATATATCTTGCTTCTGATCCTGGTCAGTGCTCAGATTTTCCACATTCACCCTTCCTCTGATCACAGTTTGATCTATTTGAAAAGTTTGAAAACTATTATCTCATTCTTCTTAATTATTTGAATCCCCCTATCATCGTACATCTTACAACTACTTTAAAGCTGACTAGGACTCTTTCTGTGATTTTCTTTGCAATGGCCTTTGGGTAGAAATCTTTCGTCTTCCTGTTGACAAATGTGCTTCTTACGAAACTTCGTGGATTCAGACGATTCCAGGCCAAGTCTCAATCTTCTCCATGGTTTTTCTCATATTGTGCTGCTGCTATTGATAATCGAAATCATTACTTCCATAACTATCAGCTAAACAATTCTTCAGAAAACAGACATTTAATTACTACTGTTAATTACTACTAGGAGCATTTGTAAAAAGGTTTTGACTAACGCCAAAGCCCGCTATTCTCAGGTCATGAAATCTCATATTTCATCACAGAAATCAGGCTCTCGTGTTTTTTGGAGAATCTTTATTAGCATCAATAATAAGGGCAAGTCTGTAATTCCACCTCTTTTGTATGGTTCAGACTTTGTCACCTCACCTAAAGACAAAGCTGAATTGTTTGCTAAGAACTTTTCATCAATATCATCTCTTGATTCCACTAGTTGCATTCTACCTGATATAGCCGACAAACAGGTTGATCCATTGCTTGATAATCGTATCACTCCAGGTTCTGTATCTAAAGTGATTTCCTGTTTAGACTCTTCTACAGCTTGTGGCCCAGACAATATACCTGTTATATTCTTGTAGTAGTATTCTCCGGAGCTGTCGTCTATCCTTTCAAAACTATTCAACAAGTGCTTATCAGAGTCTTGCTTTCCAGCCTCCTGGAAAGCAGCATCTGTTATCCTTATTTTTAAAAATTCTGGAGAGTGATCTAATTCTAACTACTATCACATTAATCTTCCTCCTATCATAAGCAAAGTTATTGAATCTTTAATTAACAAACACTTAATCTTGAATCTAATAACTTACTTTGTGATCATCAATATGGATTTCGATCTTCTTGTTCTATGGCTGATTTTCTAACAGTAATAACTGATAGATTTTATTGTGCATTAGATAAAGGTGTAGAGGTTAAGGCCATCGCTTTTGACATTTCTAAAGCGTTTGATAAAGTTTGGCATGCTAGTCTTCTCCATAAGCTTTTTTCTTATGGTGTATCTGAAAACATCTTTAAGGTTACTGAATCCTTCCTTTCCAATCGTAGTATAAAAGTTGTCCTTGATAGACAGCACTCTTCTTCTTATTCTGTAACCTCAGTTCCTCAAGGTTCAATCCTTGGCCCTATACTTTTTACTATACCTTTTTAATTTACATTGACTATCTTCCAGATACTCTCACATCTAAGGTGGCATTTTTTGCGAATGATACTACCATTTATTCTTGTCATGATAAGAAACCAACTCTCTCTCTGATTGCTTGGAGGGGCATTTGAGCTTGAAAAGGATCTCACTTTGGCTGGTGAACTTTAATTCAAATAAAACTCAATTTTTTTCAGTCAATCGTTATCGCAACAACTTAGATCTTCCTATATTTATGAACGGTAATGTACTTGATGAGTCATCTACCCTTCATCTTCTAGGATTAACTCTTACTTCTGATCTTTCTTGGAAACCATATATTAAATCCGTTGCAAAATTAGCATCTGCTAAAGTTGCATCTCTTTATTGAGCTCGACACTTTCTTACTCTGGATTCTATTCTCTATTATCTCTATAAATCTCAAATAGGACCTTGTGTGGAATACTGTTGCCATATCTGGGGCAGATCTTCTAATGATGAACTTTCTTTTTTAGACAAAATGCAAAAATGCATTGCAAACATAGTTGGGCTTGCTCTTGAAGCCAACCTTTAACCATTATCACATCGTTGTAATGTTGCTTCTCTTTCTCTTTTCTACAAATACTATAATGGGCACTGCTCTAAAGAGCTAGGGTCTCTTGTGCCATCTACTAAAACTCACTCTCGTGTTACTCATCATTCAATTAAGTCTCATCCTTTTTCTGTTACTGTTTTCGTAAGTGCTCCAAAAACTCTTACTCGTCTAGTTTTATTCCTTGAACATCAGTTCTTTGGAATTTGCTTCCTTCTTCTTGCTTTCCTGATTCATATAATTTGCAATCTTTTAAGCCGTCTGTCAATCGTTATCTTGCTCTACAATCTTCATCTTTTCTCTTTCAGTAACTTCCAACACTAATCAGTGGTTGCTTCCAGCCTTGTTGGAAGCAAAGATGTTTAAAAAAAAAAAAAAAGCATTTGAAATCATTTAACAAGAATGTGGTACAACAATGAGCAGCAAGAAACTGCGTCATTCTTAACTGTCATGAAAAATTCAGACAAACAAATCTTAAGTCAAAGAGATAACTTAGAGAATCAAAAGACGCTTTTTCAGATTCTACCATTCATAATCTTTTGGGGCCCATACAATGCTGCTCTTTGAGGATAGAAAATAATGATAGAAAAAATGTCCATAATCTGTTTCAATTTAGACTGAAAGTTTATAGCAAAGTTAATGCATTGATAGACTTCAGCTGAAAACACAAGTCATTGCAAGCAACACAATTGAATTTCATAAGTGCTCAGAAACTAATCATCATGGTAGATAACCTTTTCCCATGAATATTGAAAGAATGCTGAAATTCATTTCAAGCAAGATATATAAACTAATGTAGTCGCTGTCGTATATTCAATAAATATTGAAATAAAGAAAGTCCTTTGTCTATGCAGACGGCAAGTACTTTAAAGCGACCCTGATAGCTGAATTGAATAAAAGCACAGAGCTACAATGGAAAGACTACTTTAGATAAACAATATTTGTGTGATACTTGATTCCATTATATCATCTTTAATGAACCATTTCTCTGAAGATATAAGTCACCATTCCAGCTATTTAGAATTCAGTCTGCAATTGAATTTATTAACATACCTTCATTCTGCTAAATTCAGAAGCAGTGTAATTAACATCAATTTTGAGCACAGTATTGATAACTTCAACCCTGAGGCAACAAATTGATTTGATTTTTGGTGTACACATGTACAATCACAAGCAATTAAGGAGGATATGCAACTTATAAATTTTTTGTTAAGCACAGATTCAAATCCAGATCTTCAAGTTCTCTGATTGCACTGACTCTAGTGAAAAAAAACTACGGCTGACAAAAGTCTGTCGGGGCTGTGCTTGTAGAGCATTCGCCACAATAGTATAAAGAGCAACAAGAATAAATGATATACAGAAAGTTATTTACATCTTTGTGTGGGACTTACAATAGTATTTATTGGGGATTGACAAGTTTAGCAAAAAGGACACAGGCTGATATCCAAAAATTTAAAATCCTTAGTGAAACACCACCCCCACCCGCCAACCCTTCGGACAAAATCCTACAGACACCCATGTTTGAGTTGGTTACTGAAATTAACCTTAGATTCAAACTAGTTTTTGTTGGTAAAAGTATTCACTGTGTGAATTTGTTTTCAGTCTTTTATCAGTCTTCACTTTTTTTTATTAGTGTACACATTTATATCTTTTATGATGGTTTTGGGCTGTAAAAAGCTTTACTAATCAAATCATCCTAATAAAATAGCCCTTAACATGTACAAGCATATGAATTTAAGCAGTATTATGGAGATAATAAGTACAATAATATTTATAATTTAAAGAATGATTGTATACAAAATAAAGTGTATGCAAAAAACAATGTTAATCTGAAGAAATTTATAAGTATTTAATACTTACAGTAAATAGCATTTTTTTAACTTTATTATTGCTTGTTGTATTATTTATTTGATTTAATTAGGTTTTTACACTTTTATTATACTTTTATTTTTTTACAGTTTTATTATACTTTTATATGTGTGATTACTAGTTACAGACTCAAGATTCCAGATTCCAGACTCTATATTTTAATAACCTATATTGTTCAAGTTTAGATTCTTACATAGTTCCTTTATAGATTATAGATCAATATTCGATGATTCAAATCACAAGAGAAACTCCTATTAACACTTAATGACATTTTTATGATATAAATTCCAAAATTGACTCATACCAACTTATTTTTAGTCATATATGTTTATATTCTATATTTAAAATCAATTTTTGATACTTTTGACTATTTTTGTTGCATCTTATTGTTTAAATCCTTAAATGTTAAAATACTTTACCTGTTTTTTAATAAAAACAGATAAAGTATTTAAACAGGTAAGGATCAAAAACAGGTAAGGGTTTTTTCTGTTATTATACTCATTTTCATTTAATTAATTTTTTTCAGTTTGCAAGCACATCATATATTGTGTATACAATTTAGTTTTTAATAAATAAATTATTAAACTCAAATACCTATTTCTAAATATTGCCAAAATAGTGAAAACTTTGTTTGAATTTCACCTTCAAAGTCAGCAACCCATTGTGGTTGATTAGCCTCAGTATAAGAAGTAAGTTTTGCATACCTCCAATTTCGATATTTGTTTTTTAAAAATCTAATGTCAAAATAGACATTTTTAAAAGATTAAGCATAAATATATATGTAATATATTATAAGTATAACAAGTAACATTTTTTTATATATATATGCAAAATTAGGCTATATACATATATTATACTTATACATATTAAATATAAATATATATCTTTATAATTATGTATATCATATATATATATATATATATATATATATATATATATATATATATATATATATATATATATATATATATATATATATATATATATATATATATATATATATATATATATATATATATACTCTTGCATGGTAGTTGAAAAGAGTTTCCCATAAACTGTAGTTTTAAAGAGCGCGTTAATAAACCAGACCAGAAAAAGCTTAAAAACTTAAATTTTTTTTTTTAAATGATAGACTGCCTGCCCAAACCAAACTCTCAGTCGATGTAGCAGCACTCCCTTGCGAGTCAGGCTATTTGTCAGTCGATGTAGCAGCACTCCCTTGCGAGTCAGGCTATTTGTCAGTCGATGTAGCAGCACTCCGTTGCGAGTCAGGCTATTTGTCAGTCGATGTAGCAGCACTCCGTTGCGAGTCAGGCTATTTGTCAGTCGATGTGGCAGCACTCTGTTGCGAGTCAGGCTATAAGATAGTCGATGTAGCAACATTTACGCATGTTTTAAAAATGTTTTTTAATAAAATAAAATCAAAAACATCACTAATAAAAAAAAACTTTCTAGTCGTTATAATTGCGGTTTTTTAAAAAATTTTTAAAAAGCAATAAAATTTAATGTACTTCCGCATTAATTTAATTGCTTTGACATTTCGACGACAATCAAATACAGCTTAAGAGACGAGGTAATTAAAATTGTAGTCGAAAGAGACTTTTTTTACATTAAAACGCTCTTTCGACTACACTATATGTATATATATATATATATATATATATATATATATATATATATATATATATATATATATATATATATATATATATATATATATATATATATATATATATATGAATATATATATATATGAATATATATATATATATATATATATATATATATATATATATATATATATATATATATATATATATATATATATATATATATATATATATATATATATATATATATATATATATATATATATATATATATATATATATATATATATATATATATATATATATATATATATATATATATATGTATATATATAAATATATATATATATATATATACATGTCAATTATGCCTAATTTTTCATATATACATACATACATATATGTATAAACATATATATATATATACATACATACATGTATAAACATATATATATATATATGTTTATATATATATATATATATATATATATATATATATATATATATATATATATATATATATATATATATATATATATATATATATATATATATATATATATAATATATGTTTATATATAAATATATACATATATATAATATATGTTTATATATAAATATATACATGTATATAATATATGTTTATATATTAATATATACATATATGTATATATATATATATATATATATATATATATATATATATATATATATATATACAGAAAAAAAAACATACTGAAACTTTTTAATCCCTTTGTAATAAGTACAAAATATTATAATATAAAAATTCACGTCCAGGAAGTAATCCACTGGTATTTAGAGTGGTAGCCCTCCAACCAAATAAAGAAACATCAAAGAATGAATGTTGATTTTTAACCGGGAAAACCTGTTTTTGGTCTAGGCAATCATTCAAATGGAGCTAATTTGTTACATGATTGGTGTGGAAAAATCTCTCAATTTGTCTTATTCCTCTTTTAATACTCACTCATTTAATTGCAAGATGAACTTGCAATTAAAGGTGTTTTATCTTTCATTAATAAAGCTGAAGTAAAGCCAGTATATTTGAGAAGGTCACATTCTAAAGATTCAACAAAACCTGGTCCTATCCTTGTTGAACTTAGCAAACCAAGTCTACAAAAGCCAATACTTTTAGCAGCCAAAAACTTGACAAATAGCGAAGTTCATTAAACAGTATATATAAGTTAACTGAAGCAGAAAGGCAATTCCATTATCAAATTAGACAAGAGGGAAACAGATTGAATTCAGAATTGAATTTTAACTCTCTCTTTCGATATGGAATCTGTCCAAATTTTCAAATCAAATCCAAAATTTCAAAAAAAACTATAATTTAGATAGAGTTCTATCAAAACATAGTCAGGGCGCGACAAATCGTTTTTTTTTAATAAATGTTGATGTTCGTTTCTTTATTTATTGACGAATGTCTAATTTAAGAGTTTAATGTCAAATATGTACTCCCCCCCCCCCCCCCATATTAGATATATCAAAGATACTAATTGAATTTTATCAACTATTTATTAATTTTAAAAACATTTCACGCATTTGCAAAGTGTGCGGAAATTAATGATAACTAATATGCAATAACCTTTTGACTGTAAACTTTATCTATTAATACAAATATTAAGTGAATTTTTCTCAATTTAGTTTATTAACTTTTAAATAAAAGATACAAACTTGATGAAATTTAAATCAAAGGGAACAAAAAATATTTTGACATTTCTTTTTTAAAATATTTAAAAATAATAATATAATATTAAGCATTTAACAAGTTATTAAATTTATAATTTAATAAGTTATTATTAAATATCTGATATGATATCATTATATTTATAATATTAAGTATTTAATAAAAAAGTATCATATTATTGGTGTTGTTAAACGCACAGTAAAAATTGAAAACTATAATAAACATAATAGTTCTATAAATTCTATTAAATTATACATATTTCTGCAAAAAAATTTTTTCAAAACTTTAAAAACGGCAAGTAAACATTACTTTAATTTAATGATAATAAGAAAATTTTTAAAAAAGCACGCTTTTAAATTCATTATAACTTAAATTTGCCATTCTTTTGTAAACGCATGTAAAAACCATGCTAAAACATAATTTTTTTTACAGTTGCTAAATTAAAAAAAAAGCTATTAAAGCACGTTTATTAATACGGTTTCTTTTAACGTCATTGAAACTGCATTTTAAATTTTAGTAACTTATTTTTTTTATATTAATGTTTTTTTCTATAAAAAATAAAAAACTATCAATCGTACAATTATTTAGAAAAAAAAATTGCTGAAGTTATGAGTTCGTTTTTAAAATATCTAAGCGAACATTTGCTTAAGTAAAAGTAATGAAACGTGACGTTCGTTTTTCCGTCTTTTTTTAAACAAACGTTCGCACGTTCGTCGATTTGTCGCGCCCTGATAGTAAATAATATTTTTTGGAAATGCATGTACCTAAATGCAACACCTTTGCAAAATAAACTTGATGAACTTATGGTTGTTGTCAATACAAATCATCCTTATCTAATTGGAGTTACTGAGTCTCAATAGTCAATTTTCAGCGGGATAACATTTATGGCAGAAATAGATGTGATGGTCAAAGAGGAGGTGGTGTATGTCTTTATGTAAAAAGTTTGATTGATTCATAAAAGCTTAACAATATTTAGTTTAGTCAGAGCAAAATTGAACAAATCTGGGTTGTTTGGTAAAGAAATATTTAGTTTTTTAGGTAAAGAAATATTTAGATATGGTTGCTTTTGATTTAGTTTTTAAAGTAGCTAGAAATTATGTTGATAAAAAATGGTTCAAAGATGTTTTAATCATTGGAGAATTGAATTTTACTTCAATAAATTGGTCTAATGTAAATGTATCTTCTATTTATAACAATTCAGGGATTGAACATATCTTCAGTAACATATTAATGACATTGAATAATAATTTTCTATATCAGCATAAAAACACTCCGACTTTTCAAGTCTCAAATGAAATAGCAGTTAATATATTGGATATTTTTTGTACAGAAACTGCTTAAGAGAATAAAATTACGTATGTTGTGAAAATCTTCTTTAATGTATCTGCTTTATAAAGATAATATCTTGGCCAATACCAAAGCAGCAATAACCCAGTGGGCACCCGACCAAAAAAAGACTTTATTTGAATATTTAAAAAACATCAGAGACATTCAAAAGACGTTCGATACGTTTAAAAGACGTTCTAAAGACGTTTTTTTAATGTCCCTGACCACTGCGAAGGACATCCGCATTAGGTTGTATAAATGGGACACATGAAATTAAAAAAGATGGCTTTTCTCAGCATTTGCAAATGTACTGTCCACAGAAATGCGATCCAATTTTCAAATGACCTAAAGGAAAATAAAGAAGTAAAACCAAACGACAAAGATCAACAGGTTATTAGTCAGCATAAAATAATCAAAACTAAACGGTAATAAAGCAAATTATAGCTTTTTAAAACATTTTAAGAAAAATAATAATTTATTTCAAATGAGTTTAGATTTTATTTGTAATTTTTGTTTTAGTTACTGACAACTGGGGTTACTTTGATAGGTTTTTGTGATTTTTTAAAAAGCGCTGATAGAATTTTAATGAATTTCTGTCGTTTTTGGTTTGAATATACCAAATGATCTATCCTTATCAGGAAAAAATGCTTTTTAGAAATATCAGAACTTGTCTTGTAATTGTTTTTAAAGTCCAAACAGTTATCAATGTAACCCATGTAGGGGTTACTTTGATAGAAAATGTTATTTTAATCACATATTAAGTTAACCCCATCACAGGGTTTCATTGATAGTTTTTTAGGCTTATAAAAAAGATTTATAGACCAAGTACACCTGATAATATCCAAAAAATTACAAAGTTGGTTGAAAAAATGTCAAAAATTATCAAACTTTATCAAACTTAAAATTATAAATTATCAAAAGTTCTTGATTTTAGTTGATGACTTGGTGAGACAGGTATGGGAACCAATATTGATCCCTTGTTTTTCTCGGATTATCTGAAATTCTTTCAACCACAGCAGAATATGGAACAGCTTAATCCATATCATCTTTGCTTTATGTAAAATTGAAGAATTTACTCGCTGTTTGTTTTTTC